GTACACCTTAACACTCACCAATATAATTATTAATTCAAATTTTTTAAAGTTCACAGAGTTGTTAACATTATTATTGGCCACTAATCTTCAGTCTAGAGGAGCTCTGGTAGCCTAGCGGTAAGAAGCTGTGCTGCAATCCCAAAGGCACATGGTTTGGATTCACCAGCTACTCCGAGACAGAAGAGTGGGTAACCTCTTCATATGCAAGTTATTGCCTCTGAAAAGCCTCTGGAGCGTCATCTATGGGCCAGTTCCAACTCAACAGCATGCAACAACCACCATAATCTTCAAACTATATTAATATGGAGGGGGGAGAAATAGTGACTTTAAACCTGTCTGCCAGAGAGAAGGGAGAATTTCTTGATTGGACCTGAAGATACAACCATGACTACTATCACCTCCAGTAACAGAAGTATGGATAGTTCTATACAGTGTGAGTCCAGAGTTTGTGTTCAATGGGCATCACCTACAACAGTTCTATTGCTGAATTCCAGTTCTATCACTTAGAAAGACAACTTGGCTCCTTCAATGTAGAGTGGAAAAATTTAAGTAGAATTAAAGTAAAAAATTTAAGTAGAATTTAAGTAAAAAAAATTAGTAGAAGGTCAGAAATAGTGCTTGAGGTATAATACTGAATACAGACCAAAGGCAGAGATAATAAAGGATAATTTAGATTAACATTGATGATAATTTCCAGCCAGTTTAGATTAAACCAGAAAGAACAGTGTCTCTTCCTCTTCTCCTAAGAGACTAGTACCACCTGGATTTGTTCTGCTTCATGTCCCTCGAAGTTAGAATAGATTCAATGGTAGTAAATTTCTCCCTTTCAGGGTGCAAATACAAACCCATCATCCATTACTTTCCAATCCAAAGCTTAATTTCCTTCTTTATTAATTACCCCCCTACATCACTAAGAACAGAATAGTCAAGAAATGTGCTTACAACTTAAGACAGTCTATGGTCAAATAAGGAAGAACTCTTGACTGCCATTCTGATTTAACTGTGGAACAAGCTCTTGGTAAAAAGTCAAGTAAGGAGATTCCAAGCCTGGGAAAGGAGAACGTGACCTCATGCTGAGGCAATGAATCCTCAAGTTAACTACACCTTGAACAAAACAATCCCTCCATCAGAGGCAGCTCATTACTGGTGCTCTCAGCACCAAACAGAGGAAAAGGGGAAACGAAATGAGAATCACAGCGTCATCATCAGAACTCAAGAGAGGAAAGGAATGTTCTCCTTTTGACCATGGAATTAAAGTGTAGGCAGTGCTAGGCAATAGCAACAGAAACAAATGGGATCACACGTTTTAATACATGATTTAATTGTACAGTGCTGTTCAAACATTATAACAAAATATAACACCACTTGTTGCTAGAAATGTTTTATTACAGAAAAGCAGCTTAGCGTGAGGTGAAAAGGTAGGCCTTAGGAACCAAGAGTTTGAATCATATCTCCTACTTATTAGCCGTGTGACCTTGGGCTAGTTATCTCATCTCTGCCCCTAGGTTTTACCTCTATAAAATGGGAATTACAAATGTATAATGATACTTGACCCTCCAGGGAGTTTTCAGAGGCTATAAATCACACAGGAGGAGACTGTCCATCATTATTCCTAAGAGAAGCAGATGGATTTGAATTGCTTGCCTTAGAGTTGGCAGCACAATTCCTTACCCAGTAGGCCACCAGAGCTCACCACAGAGTTTTTATTTACTAATAGTCACTTCTAAGGTACTCAGCATAATGCAAGCACATGATTCAAAACAGCTTAACTGTTCAAAAATAAAAACAAATATTAAGATTCTCACTTTCGTACTTACTTAAAAACTGCTACTCATATAGCTCTCATCATTGTCAAAGATGCCCTCATTTTTAAACTGGCTCTGAGGGATTTGGGCTTGTTAACCAACAAACCCTTCTCTGAACAAGTCTGAATCCCAGAGGTCATTTTGAGGTGATGCAAATGGAAACTGAAAATTTCACACACAGTTAATCAAACCATAATCATTCCCAAAATAAGTAAAATTAAAATGAACATTTATTGTACACTCATTGCGGCTAGTCATTTATAAGCTGATGTGGTTTGATGGGAAAGCATGGAACGGGTTAGGAATATAAGCATGGTTTGCTGGCTGGCACATGGCTGAGTAAAGTGACATTTACCTTACTGAATTCACTTTAAGTTTGGTGCGTAGCTTTAAAGGGGCAGAAATTTGGTTTTGTTATCACTTTCATTCAATCGACAATGACTTATTGAGTGCCTAATTTGTGACAGATATTTTGAGAGGAAATGGGGAGAAAGTGGACAGCAAATCATTAATAGTCCCTGCCTGCTCTCACAAAGCTGACAACCTGATAGAGATGAAATACATTGAAAATTAAAATTTTTAAAAACCAAACAGCCCACATTGTCAATTAGCTAATATACAAGGCAAGAGTAAGATTTGAGCAGACCAGAATTCTTGTTCAAGCAAGACCAATTTATCCCCTCCATGTAACAGACCTGCATAGGGACAGAAAGTTACAATTCAAGCAAGAGAGTCTGTTAGGCCTTAGGTGGTACCTCCTGATATGTAAAATGCAAAAGCATCTAACAGGCCATGACTGAGAACGATGGCATCCTGATTCAACCCTGCTGGCCATATCCTGCAAACATAAGACTGTTCATGATTATACATTTCCTTCTCTTTACTTTCCAAACCTGCCTATACTCCAATTCTCATTGCCTCTTTCAAAAAGGCTAAAATGTGTTCCATAGGGTTTCAACGACTGACATTTTAGAAGCAGATTACCTAAACTCTTCCAAAGTCCCTCTGAGTTGGACTCAAAACTCTAAACTTTGAGCAGCCAAGCGTGTCAACCATTGTATCCTCCAGAGCTTGCTTTATTTAATTTCTGTTATAATCATATTTCCATGTTACTGGACCAATTTCTTCACTGATCATGCTGACTGGAGTTTGCCATGTTCTTAAACGTCTTTCAACACACATCTAAAGAAATAATGTTATTTATTCCAGAAGTACTTAATCAGATTTAATCTTTGTAGCTTAAATCTCAGAGGGCACATATTTCCTTTATTTTTTAGTTTGGGGTTGATGTGAGTGGGAAGGTGTTTAAGGCAACTGTATAAACTGTTGGTGCACAGACCTCAGAATTACTTAATTTAGTCTTCAAACAACTCAATGAGGTACAAAAGTTAATCTTATATGAATCATGAAGAACATTGCAAAGTAAGAGTGTGCTACGTATTTATTATTCAAAGGCAAAAATGAAAAATAAAAAAGGAACTTATAGGTTCATAGTCTAAGTCAGTAGTCAGTAACTGCTATGACTTACAAGCCATACATGATGAATTTTTTTTAAAAAAAGCACACTCTTGAGGATAGGATGTTATAAATAATAGCATAATATAGTTATAATTAATGTTATAAAATTACATTTATGAGTGACTGAAACAACTTTATAAAAAAACACATTCATATAGAAAGTGTCAACATTCAGATCATCACTAAAATAACTTACTTTTATTTGTTTTCTTGTTAGCTACTGTCAAGTTGACTCCTGTCAACCATGTACAAAAGACTGAAGCCTTGCCTGACCTAGGACCATCCTCAAATTAGTTAGAGACTATTTCTTGGTATTCTGATCCTCTAGTGAATCTGTGTGAGTGAGGAGCAGCACTTCGAGTCAGGGACCTCACAAGAGCCCTGCTTGTCACTGACAGGCTAGATAATACCTCCATCGTGTGCCTGATCACATCTAGAAGTGAGATTGTCCTATCCCATCTAAGGAAATTTACTAGAAATACAAAACTGGTTTCCTTGGGTATTTAATTATCAATAAAAGCCAGAATGACCAATTAGATTAAACATCTTGTCAATGATGTGAATTGAACATAACTTAGTATACCATGTATGTGTTTTTTTTATCAAATTTAATAATAGATATTTTTACTTCTGGGCTGAATGTCCATGGTAAAAGATGAAATAAGATATTAAAAATATAGTCAAATATTAACTTGAATATAGTCAATGGAGAACACATAATTCAATAGAGTAACTAAACAATTACACTGGGTGAACATTTAAGATAAGAACTCCACTTTCAAGTGCCAAGGGAAAGGTCCTGAGTCTGTTTCATCAATGGTTTCTCTCTCCAGGGACCAGCACAGCACTTGGAATCCTTATGTGTTCATTAACTGTTTATTAAACAAATAAATAAAAATAAAAATATACTCTTATTGCACACTATCATGGAATGTTCATCCAAGTAAAATAACATTTATTAAAAGGAAAAGATAAATTTAAGTTTAGATGAAGGGGGAAAATATCTTGCTCTTCACTTTACAATATGAATGAACTTCCTAACCTAACACTAACAAAACCACCACCACCACATGTAGGAAAATGATGGGAGAAACCTACTTTCACTGAAGTGGCTGTCACAGAATCCTACTAGCTCCAATATTGTGTGAATTAAACCTGTAAAACTTTGATATACTTACCAAAAATGCACTAAGAACTCTAGAACTTTAAAAACAACTTACTTAGAAATAAATTAATAAAAGAATGTATGCATGGAACATATTATGTAAAAGTATCTTTTATCTATAATACAGAGACAAGGTAAACAGTGCAACAACTTGGTAAAGAAAATTTGTAAAGGCTTTATCTATTTGATTGAGTAGAATGGAATATTCAAAATCACACAACTAAACCCTGCAATGACATTATCATTTTTACATCACTCAATTTTACATCATCATTAAGACACAAAGCCCTGTAGCTAACTCTGCAACTATAGAAACACTGAGATATTGCTATTCTTCACAAATCCTTGTATTAAAATATTCCATCCTTTTGTATTTCTGTTACATATACATGGTAGTAATATTGTTCTTTTCCACAATTATCAACTGCTGCAGTTTAGAGTAAGATATTGGGAACCAATAAAGTAAGTTAGTGTTTTGTTTTTTAAAAAGTAAGTGCTAATATAATACTCACCAAGCACAATGACCACTGTCTTCAGTAGACTCATCATGGTGTCCCGATTCCTCCGGGGTCCAGAACTGTGCCTAGACATTCTCATAGTCCTCTGGCGAACATAGCCAAAGATATGAGCATATAAAACCACCATTACCACAAAGGTCACCAGATTGAAAATGGCCCAGAAGACTAAGTAAGAGTCGCTGTAAAGTGGTGCCATGTTGGAACAATGTCCAATATCACAGATACAGTTCCAGCCCACGCTGGGGATAGCACCCATAACAATGGCCATAGTCCAAATGACCACAATGACTACCACCACCCTCCGGTTGCTCATCCGTGTGTGGAGCTGCATGCGGAAAACAGTAATGTGCCTCTCAATTGCTATAGCCAGCAGGTTGGCCACTGACGCCGTCAGGCTGGTATCAATAAGGCCCTGGCGAAGGAGCCACGTGCTAACAGTCAGTCTCCGAGTATTGGGTCCCGTGTTGAACATTAGATAGAAGTAGGCCAACCCAGCAAAGAAGTCTGCAGCAGCCAGATTAGCCATTAAGTAATAAATAGGAAAATGGAAGCGGCGATTGACGTAGATTGCCACCATGACCAGGAGGTTAGCCAACATGATGAAGATACAAACAGTAATTCCAAGTCCCATCACCAGCTTGCTGACTGTGTTCCACTCTGTGGCGAGATACTTTCCACTCCGGTTATAAAAGAAGGCAATAGATTCATTGTAGAAGCATTGTGGCTCATTCATGGCTGTGAACTAAAAAGAGAAAGGAGGGGAAAGAATGAAAATAAAGAAAAAAACAAAGATGCCAATAAACCTAAAAGGAACCACAGATCTGAATTTGGACATATGGCTGTAGTGAATTCAGCAGAAAATGAAAGCAAAGAATTTGAGTACTTGATCCTACATATCATTCTATGATTACGTTGGAGCTTTAGTTTTCTCATAGGCTTACTGTTGTCAAGATTAAAGACAGCAAGAATTAAATAAATGACAAGGTCTTTGCTTGGTGGTTGCACTTCATTGAAGTCTACTGGAAAACCCACACGACCCAGAAGTGTTACTTAAAATACATGAGACAGACCAAAATTTTGCAGAACACTGAAATTGGAATATTTACCAAGTTGAAATCTATTTTGACCTGTTATTTAGAAGATCATAAACATAGTTGGTTTATAGAGAGGGTATTATTGTCCTATTATTCTACATTTCTATTCTCACTTAGTATGTTCAATCTGTGATACATATTTTTTAATACAGATCCCCACAATAACCATCAATCCTAACATTACAAAGGAGTTACCATGCACCAGAAGATTTTTGTCAAAAGCCAGCATTTACTCCTCAACATTCCTGTGGTCAGTGCTGTCTACTCCCATAAGTCTATACCCAGAATAGCATTCATCAACCAATCAATGGTATTTGAAGACATTTTTTCTTTGGGGAAGGAATAAATCAATGGTGTTTGAAGATATTTTTGTCTTTGGGGAAGGCATAAGACATGTGTTAAATAATGTAACCTCCAAAGAATAGTTGACACTTGGATAATTCCACAAGAAGTAAAATTTATTTTTATTACATGAGGTATATATTTTAATATATCGAATAATAAATACTGATTTATAATATGTTCACTAATTTTTCAATAGTTAGAATATATTTACTATTTGTGTCAAGTAAATTATTGTCAAATTATTCTGAAACTATGACTATTTTTCTCAAATATTCTATATGCTAAATAGTCACAGGACATGTACAAATGTTATTCAAACACAGAAAATTCCCAAACCATATGAAATTCTTACTGGGTGGCTAGTCTTTGGACTCATCCAGATAGCTAGAATCTAGGAAGATGGACTTTCATGTCTTTTAGTTGCTACTTATATCATTACATTTACTATGTTGTAGAATTATTTCTCTGTCTACTAGTCTTTCTAGGGGAAGAAGTGAGACTATGCTTTATGTATCTTTGTATTGTATCGATCTTCCTGATATGCCCTATTCATTGGACTCTGAGACCTCAGCTTCCATTCCAACCCAAATATTGTCATTACTCTGAACAATTTAACCATTTTGCCTCTCAGTTTCTTGGTCTCATTTCTGCTGTTATGTATCTTTGAGTGAGAATCGACTCACAGCTGACCCTCCAGCAGATTTTCAGAGGCAGAAAATCATGGGAGGAGACTGTCCTTCCTTCTCTTATGGAGCAGCTCATGGGGTCAAACTTCAGTGTAGCTCCTTACCACGTGGCCACTGGAGTCCCCTTCTTTATTTTCTTTACTTATTTACTTTATTCAATATTTTATATATTCTCTGTAGTTGTTATTTAATATGTACTACTAAATTTTTTTTATTTCATCTTAATTCTTCCATTAGCAGTTGCTAAAAGGAAAAGAGAATCATTTAGATTGACGCTTTCTTGCTTTTCTCCCACCAAAAAGACAAAATTACCTGTTTAACAACCTACTCTTACCTTCTCTTCTGCTGCAATGGAAGAAGTGTGTCTTATTCCATCTAAATGTTCTGAATTCTATTCCTCAACAATTTCAAGAATTGTGTTCTAAAAATTCCTTTATTTCCTCTACTATATTTCTCTCTCTACTCTCCTAATCAATATCTCTTCTCTCCTTTTCTCCTCCTTAAAAACAGAAAGGGTATCACATATATAAGAAAAAGGGGAATCTTAAATAGATTTAGTAGAACAGAGCAAAACTGAAAGAGGAATTAAAAGTCTTCATCTAGTATCTGCAGAAAACAAGCTCTGAAATAAAACAAGTGGAAGAAAATTTGTCAGAACCAACAAAAGCATTCATAAGGGCAGTAACGATGAGGTTTTATGTTGTTGCTTTTGTTTTCAACTTCTTCAAGATGCCAAAGACCTAGGTAGAAACTGAAACACTGAGAGAATCCAATCCAACTACTCTTAAATTATAAGTCAGTAAGACAAGCATTGTTGTAATGATTAGCAAACAGGAAAAAATTACCAAAGACCATAAGGAAAAAGGTAATCTCTGTTGCGATCACTCTGAAAATGAACAGAAAAGTGCATCTTTCTTAAACAAATTTATTAATAAAAAGGAGAAAGAGCTCTGGTGGCCTAGTGGCAAGAAGCTGTGCTGCAAAGCCAAAGGCACATGGTTCGAGTCGACCAGATGCTCCACTGGAGAAGGAAGGGCAATCTCCTCCTGTGCCAGTCGGATCTAACTCGACAGTACACAATAAGGGGAAAAGAAAGAAAGGGGGGAAAAAAAGAGATGAGGGAGAAATAAAACCCAAAATACAGAAATATTGTGGTTACATTTTTTAATGTTCTTGGAAGTCTACGAGAGATTAATTATGAGTCGGATCACTATGAGTCGATGGTAGCATTTAAAACTGAGTAAGCCAAAACAAAAATGAAAACACAAAAGAGAAATGCAAAAGCAAACTACATGGAGATTATATTAATTTCCAATTGCTGCTCTAACAAATTGTCACCAATTTATTGATTTATAACACAAATGTATTACCTTACAGTCTTGGAAGTCCTAAATCCAATATGAATCCTCCTGAGCCAAAATCATAAAGTTGTCAGGACTGTGCTCCTTTCCTAAGGCTCTAACTGAATCCAATTTCTTGTCTTACAGAAGCTTCCCACAATCTTTGGCTCACAGCCTCTTTTATTGTCAAAGCCAGCAAAGGCCAGTCAAGCCCTTCTCATATCAAATTACTCTGACACTGACTCCTGCCTCCATGTTCCACATTTAAAAGTCTTAGAAGACACTGAGCCCATCTGGATAAACTAGGATAATCTTCTTGTCTTAGTTCCCTAATTTAGTCACATCTGCAAAGTCTCTTTCGCCATGTAAGGTGGCATATTTATAGTCTCTAGGGATTCAACGGAGGATCTCTTTGGGATGCAGTTCTCTATTTATCAAAACGTTGGAAATGTTTTTGCATTTAAAAAAACAGCAGCACAATTAAATTATGTATAGCCACTCCTCATTTATTGACATAGGTACTAAAACCAGATCGTATGTGAAATCCTCATTATAATAAATATTCATGATTTCCTTGCACAAACTCCTCCTCCCATGCCCTCTCCCTCCAAGTTAGATGGCCATGACCTCTTTGTACTGGAAGTGGGTATGGGTTCACCCTTGTACCCCTTGCTGAAATTCAAATTCATGCTGTGGGCTACTAGCTGGGCATCCTCAGCCACCCAGCATCCCAGCTCAGACTCCATGGTGGGTTCCATGGGGGAAGCAGTAGAGCGCAATGCTGTGGCCTTGAACAGGGGAAGTTCCACAGAAGGGAGCATGGGCCACCTGCACAAAACTCTGAGGGTGTGCTAACTGGTGACAGCACATACTGAGCGGGACAAAGTAGTGGAGCAGGCCAAGAAGGAAGCAGGACTAGAGAAGAGGAGGTATGAGCAGGAAAGGGCCAGAGCACAGCCAGTGCCACACAAGCTCCAGACTAGGGTAACACACTCTGGGAGATAGTGTTCATGCATTGGGCAAAATGTACACTAGGAGGGTCTGTTGGTTAGTTGGTCTTTAATGAGCAAAAGAGTCTGATAATAGATATTTTGTTGTGATAATACATATTACTGTTGTGAATGTGAAATTTTAGATAATTAATCAGTAAGTGAAGAATAAAAACCAACCCCCATTATCATCTAATTAATTCTGACTCATGGTGATTCCCCCATTAGTTTTCCAAGGTTGTAAATCTGTAGTGACTGGGAGATTTAGACAGAAAACTTTCTGATCATCACAGTATACTGCAACACCAGAACTCCATAACTTCGGAATATTGTTGTTACATGCCATTGAGTTAACTACATCTCATAGTGACCCTATGACTTACCCTATTTTGAGCCAACCTCACCAACTCAGACACATCTGACCCCACTGACACAGACATTTTGTCAATCCACCTCATCCGATGTCTTCCTCTCCTGTGCTGTCCCTTGACCCTTGCAAGCATGATAGCCATTTTCAAACAGTGATGGGTGCGGAACATTTCCGATAACTGAACTGCCTAGAGAAGATACACATTAGAAATGTATCCAACAATAAGACAAGAGAATCAGAGATGACAAGAAGGATAGGAGAGGAAAAAATTATGGGAGGGGGAAAATCTAGTTATACTAGGACCTGACTAAAACCATGACAAACCAAGCACATCTAGAAACAAAAGGTAAGAAAGAAGAGTGTATTGTGATTAGGTGTCATCAACTTGTCTATGACTCACAGTGATGCTATGGACAGAAACCTTGCTCTGTCCTGTGCCATCCTCATGACCTCTTCCAAGTTCAAGCCCCCTGTTGCAGTAACTATGTCAATCTATCTCATGAGGGTCTTGTACTCTTTCACTGAATGGAGTAGTAAACCTCAACAACTCATTGATAACAAGTTGGAGCCAACTCAGAGACTGTAAACTACACAAAAGGAGAGCACCCATTTCCCCCTTTGAACATCAGGTGGGTTTGAACGGCTTACTTTTAGATTACTAATACATCTTCCCACAGACTATGCTATCAAAAGTTTCTAAATGGGGTGCAGAAGACCATCAATATTTAATTACTCAGGTAAGCACAAGGAAGAATTCAAGATACTAAAGAGCTGAACAGAAGATTCCAAAAGGCTGCTCGGAATGACAAAGCAAAATACTACAA